AGGATAAATGAAACATGATTGGCCATGTGTTGAATTGTTGAAGTTGATTAATGGGTACATGGGAGTTTATTATATTAGTCTTTTTTTTTTTTTTTTTTTTTGGTCTTTTTGAGAGAGGGTCTCCCTATGCAGTTCAGGCTGGCCTTGAGCTCACTTTGTAGCCCAGGCTGGCCTCGAACTCTCAAGGTACCACCATGCCTGGCTGTATCAGTCTATTTTTGTTTTGTTTTGTTTTGTTTTGTTGTTTTTCTTCCAGTACCAGGAATCAAACTCACGACCTTGCGCTTGCCAGGCAGGTGCTGTGCCGCTAAGTCCCCAGCCCCTATCATTCTATTTTTGTATATGATTGAAATTTTCCATTTGTAAAAGTGGAACACAAGCAGGAGCCGGGCATGGTGGCTCACGCCTGTAATTGCAGCACTTGGGAGGCTGAGGCAGGAGGATCACTGTGAGTTTGAGGCCAGCCTGGGCTACAAAGTGAGCTCAAGGCCAGCCTGAAGTGCATAGTGAAACTAAAAGTCCAAGCTAAAGATGATGCATAATTTTTCTGAATCCAAGGTAATGGGACATACTGCTGGTAATGATATAAATTCTAGAACTGAAGTTTAATAAAAGTAATGGCATTTTCTTATTTCATTTATAGGGCCTGAGAGTCAGTATACTAAAACTGCTCAGGAGATTGTGAACATCTGTTACCAGACATTGACTGAGGTAGGTGGCATGCAGGAGGTCCCTTGCATGTAGCTCCATGGAATCCTTTTGTTCTTTTGAGTGAGGAGCCATCCTACTCTACACTTATTCCACAGTCCCTGATTCCTTCCCTGCTTTACGTATTTTGACTATCTGTGTCCTGGCACTAGGGTAAAACCTCCACGAAGACAGGGGTATTTTTGTCTGTTTTGTTTACTTCTGTATTCCCAGTGCCTAAAACATACATTGAATCAATTCATTAATTGTTTATTTCTCAGTATGACGAGCATTTGACTCAACTTGAGAAGGATATATGTACAGCTAAAGAAGCAGCTCTGGAGGAGGCAGAATTAGAAAGCCTAGACCCAATGACCCCAGGTCCCTATACACCTCAGGTAAGTCTAAGGACTAAGAACTCCTCTCATATTTTTCTTATTGGTTTGGGAATTGGGAGCATGTTAACAGATCTATTTACTGAGATACCATTCTTCTCTGTCCTCCCTCTTCATATGCCTTTCGTGTGCTTTCTTGTCTTCTCAAAGGCTAAGGTGAGTGAGGGCTATGGGTCTTGGTAGCCTTGCTAAATCTGGAAGCAACTGAACGAGTGGGATGGGGCCTTAGTTGTTTAGAAATTTGGGAATACTAGATGTCGACTGCTTTAGCCAGAGGCATTCTCCAAGTTTCTCTGGTTATCTTGTCCATAAATTTTGGGATTCTAGGACATCTCCTAGAGTGTAGGCTGTTCAGTTATAGACATGGGCTTTTATTATTCCTGTGTCTTGCAGATACCTGGTGATGCGTTCCCTTAGAGGTATCTCAGTATTCTCAGATGTCACCCATTTTCCTAGATTGACTCCCGCTCTTAGTAAATAATGACGGGTAATATTTATAATGTTCTTAAATTTACATGTCAAAGACTTAAATTTTAAGACATTTCTAGTCTTTTTGATCTGACTAAACCCTTGAATATAATGAGTGTATTTCCTTTATGCTATATTCAAGGGTTGGCAAATTTTGAATAATAGCACTTTTTAAAATTTTTTTGTCTTTTTGAGACAGGGTCTCGCTATTCAGTTCAGGCTGGCCTTGAGCTCACTTTGTAGCCCAGGCTGGTCTTGAACTCGCAACAATCCTCCTGCCTCAGCCTCCCGAGTGCTGGGATTATGGGCATGTGCCACCACGCCCAGCTTGAATAATAGTACTTAACAGAATATACTAGTAACTGGTGGTTGGTTTCCTGTATTGGAGACACTATGGTAGAATGGGAAATACATGAGGTTTGACATAAAATAGGTCTGGGTTTGACTTGTAGCTCTGCCACGGTGTAGCTTTGTGATCTTGGGAAGTTAACTTAACCTCTCTAACTCAGTTTCCTTTTTTCTAAAATCTTATTGGGCCGGGGATATAGCTCAGTGGCACAAGCACCTGCCTGGCAAGCACAAGGTCCTGAGTTTGATTCCTGGTACCAAAAAAAAAATCTACTTTTCACGATGTTGTCAACGTTAAACAAGTTAATTTTCCTGGCACGTAGTAGAAATTTGGTAAATACTTGTTTCAGCCTCTGTATGAAAATTGTCTACATAGTCCTCAGAGAATCTTTCAAATTTAACCAAATCTTTGAATGAAGAATTCTCCTGACACCTACAGGACTTTTTTTATTCTACCTACGTTTCCCTTAGAACTGATAATGCAGCCTGTCTGATCTGTTGGATTATTGCTGTCTCTGTGTCTCGTTCATATACTTTCCCTATCTGTCTTTTACTTTCTCTTTAATCCCAAAACCTAGGTTACTGAGGGGCCAGGTATAAAGAACCCTCAGATACTTCTTCAAGGTCCAGAACAAGGAAAGGCTCTTGGCTTGCAGTATATGGGCAAATTGGGTCAAGGGGGATTGGGTGAGTGATGTTGCCCAGGAAGGCCCTATTTGCTAATAGGCTCACAGCTTCCACAAGGTGTTTTCTGGTAAGTTAAAGTCTGGGTATTAGCCATCCATCATTCTCCAGGAGTCTAGCGCCTGAATTACACATAGTTTGCTGAGAATTAGGAAAGTCTGAGCCTAGTGCTGTGGTGAGTTAAAAACCCTTGGGCCCAAAAGTCATTTTCCTTTCTTTCCTACCCCTCCCATACTACCTCAAATGGCTAAGGAATACCTGTTCTGCTTCCTGAGCAGTAGCTGCTGTTTAGTACAGTTAAAATGTTACCTATATAGAGTAAGGTACAAATACTATTTCATTTTTCTAGTTCACCTTCTCATCATTCCCTCCACTCACAACATACACAATTGAAGATAGCCTGCCTCATGAGTGACTATCCTTACTCGTTACTGTTAAAACTCCAATATTGTTTGAAAAGTTTGTATAAGTTTAACCTGTCATAATACAGTTTGGGTTTATATAGAAGCATGACAGTAACCATACCTTATTTATGACTTCTAAATGGTGTTAATCAATAATGTGTTTTCACTTGACTGTTTCTACCTAGTTTGTATTGTATCATCTATTCAGTAATACTTCAAAATTGCTCACTTCAGTTTTCCCACACAGTCCTTACTTTCTGTAGTAGGCTTTAAGAATTTGCAAAAATTTCGTTCCCTCTCGTTCTGTTCTTCTGTTCCATACTGATTTATCTGCTCTTTAATGCTTTGAATTGTTTTACTCTTCTCTCCAAAACCCTCTACTCAATCAGTCTTGTTTATTTACTTTTAAAAACAAAAATAACATATGTGGGTTTTCTGTAAATACAAACAAGAAATAAGTTACTGTCAGTTTCACAACTCAGAACATCAGTCATTGGATAAAATAATTTTTTAATATGTGTGGTTCAGGTTTATGTGTTTATACATACTTTTAAAATGAAATTGAGCCAGGCATAGTGGTACATGCCTATAATTCATTCTAGCACTCAGGGAGGCTGAGGCAGAAAGACAGTTCAAGCCCAGCCTTGGGCAACTTAATGACTTAGCAAGACGTCAGAATAAAAAGGCTGAGGATGTAGCTCAGTTCAAAGGCCCTGGGCTCAATCTCCAGTATCGCCTGAATGAATGAATGAGTGAATGAATGAATGAATGAATGAATGAATGAATGAAAATTGATCAGTATGGTTTTGTGTCTTGCTTTTTTCACTTTGTTATATTATGAGCATTCTGTCTGGTCCCTCCTATCATTGAATAGTCCATTTGTTAAATCCTTTTTTTCAGGGGAGAGATGAGGAAAGGGATCTGTAATTTGTTGAGTACTATGCATATCTCTTCTCATGACCCTTTAAGGGAGATTATCACCCATGTTTTACACTTGAGGAAACCAAAGGGTTAGAGAGAGTAAGTAATTTGTTAAAGTTACTCAGTTTATAAGTGGTGGAGCCTGGAACTCAAACTCAAGGCAGTTTATGCCAGAGCCCATGGTTTTTCACGCTGCTCTTTTGTAGCATCCTCTGATGAGCTCATAAATTGTGAAAACATTCCATGCCATTGTTGGAATTGAAGTTTCTTTATCCTATTTTCCTCTTAAATGTCTCTAAATCAGACATTCAAAATAGCACTGGTATGAAGCCCTGGGCCTAAAAATAAAAAGACAGGACTAAAAAAAAGCTGGTTATTGGCCAGAGAGTACAAATTTGTCCCTTAGTTTTTTTGTTTTGTTTTTTTTTTGTTGTTGTTGTTGTTTTTCTCCGGTACCGGGAACCGAACTCACGACCTTGCGCTTGCCAGGCAGGCGCTTTTGCCGCTGAGCTAAATCCCCAGCCCCTTGTCCCTTAGTTTTGATGTATTTCTGTTTTAGGCTCACTCTCGCTCGCTCTCTCTTGCTCACGCTTTCTCTATCTATCTATATATTTTAATCTGCTAGAATAGGCAACATTTTTAAGATTCTAAAAAAAACAATTTGTGCATAAAGCTGTGCCAAACTTAAGTTTTCTCTTTAACTGGATTACTCTGCATGACCTTTTCCTGCAGTGAATGCTCTAAAGGGGAGTTGTCTTTATTTTTCCTTCCCTTGGTAGAAGCTAAGTTTTATGTTTTGTGCCACAGCCTCCTGACTTGTACGATACCAATACATCCCTCAGTATGTCTCGAGATGCCTCAGTATTTCAAGATGAGAGCAATATGTCTGTCATGGATATTCCCACTGCTACTCCAGAAAAGCAGGTAACACAGGTAGGACATTGTTTTTCTGTTTGTGAAATTGGTAATATACCTGGAGGGTGAGAGTTGAAGGAATGGTGGAAGTGATATGCAATACACATCAAGGATGTCTGAGCCCACTGGCCTTGGGAATGAAGGCTTAGAAATGTGATTTCAGGTGGAGGGGGAGAAAGGTTGGCAGATCACATGACTGGCATAGTCATCTCTCTGCATGTGGGCATAGTCAAGCACAGCAGTACTTGAGGGGAAAGTACAAGTGTATACAAGTATATGAGGCCATTAGAGCATCCTAACAGTTAACTAGAAAAACCAACTACATTCAGAGTCAGAGGTAAAAATAATGGGCCTGTTACTTTAAGTTACAATCCAAATTGAAAATTTTATAAGGTTAAATTTTTCAAATTGGCCTTTCTAAAGAGGTTTCAGAAGATACTCCTAGTCTGAAGCCTGAAATCCTGTACCTGTTCTTAGTTAGGGTTCCACTGGAGTGCAAAACCCAGGACAGTTCTATCTGAAAGACTCCAATGCAAGCTATAACAAAAGCTTGTGTTAGAAAGGAAATATATCCTTGTAAGCCAGGCATGGTGGCCATGCCTATCATCCCAGCACTTGGGAGGCTGAGGCAGGAAGATTGTTGCGAGATCGAGGCCAGACTGGGCTACAAAGTGAGCTCAAGGCCAGCCTGAACTACACAGTGAGACTCTGTCTCAAAAACACAAAAAGAAAAAAGGAAATATGTCCTTGTGATATAGTAAGAATAGACTGAGGACCTGCCTGTTCTTTTTTTTCTTAACCCTGGCCTTGATTTCCAAAGAATGACTGGGGGAAAATACACATGCCTTGAGCTGTGTAAACAGCCCCCACTAGCCCTGGAGTTGGCTAGGATATCAGGGAGGAGTGTCTGTCCTGGGTGAAGAACCCTTGGTTAACTCCTCCTACAGGCACATCCCTCAACGATGTGGTATTTGTGTTCCTTACTCAGATGCGCCAGGGCCGAGGTAGGCTGGGCGAGGAAGACTCTGATGTAGATATTGAAGGGTATGATGAGGAGGATGGGAAACCTAAGACTCCAGCCCCAGTGAGTATGCTTACAGAAAGCTTATGGTTATGTTATACCTTTATGCAATAGGAACCCCAATAGTACAGGGCAGGCCAAATCCCCAGGTGATATCACAGGGTCTCCATAGTGAGCATCAGTCTGACTTTAATCCTTGGGACCAGCTGAACAAATCTATCCACCAAAATTATGTAACTTCTTGTGAGGCAGCAGGGGGTGGGGGCATGGGGCTGGTGGTGGCAGCTCCTAGTCTCTTACTCAGTCAGTTTATGGGACTTTGACCCCTATCTGGTCTCATATAGGAAGGTGAAGATGGAGATGGTGATCTTGCAGATGAAGAGGAAGGAACTGTACAACAACCCCAGGCCAGCGTTTTGTATGAGGATTTGCTTATGTCTGAAGGAGAAGATGATGAAGAAGATGCAGGAAGTGATGAAGAAGGAGATAATCCTTTCTCTGGTAAGTCTTGCTTCTTCGTTCCTGCTCCTACATAGCTCACTATAGAGTCCTCAGGACTGGATAGGAAACTCTTGGCCACATATGTTATCAGAAATTGCCTTTTTTTATGAAGTGCCATTAATAGATGTGAAAGTACTAAGCACTCAGTCATGTCTATGAGCTTTAGAGGAAGTGAAAAAAACAACACAAGAGGTACAAAAGATGACAGTGCAAAAGGCAATGCCTAAGTAGCAACTTTGATTTGGATAGTTACTAAAGAAGAGAACAAGTGTGTAAGTGGCAACAGGGAAGGGAAAGTAAGGAAAAAGATCCTGTCTGGGGATACTTTCTGAACTAGTAGGGGGAAAGTATTGCAGGAGATGAAAGAAAACATAAGTTGCACTGAGCTGGAAAAGGAAAATTGTTATTTGGATTCGATTTCTAGACTATAGATCTTGCCACTGTTGACTCTACACAGTTTACGAGAGAAGTTTCTGAAGTGAGGGATATAGGCAAGATGCCTGTGTAGATATGTGGGGGGACTGTTTTTGGAAGACAAATCTAAAGATGTTATTCTGTTTAGGCACCATGGCAAATGCCTGTAATTCTAGGACTTTTAAGAGGCTGAGGCAGGAAGATCACAGAGTTTGAGGCCAGCACTCGGTGACATAGATAAATTCAAGACCAGCCTGGATTCTGTAGTGAGATTCTGTCTCAAAATAATGTTAATTTGCTGAGGGTGGTGGTGCACATGTGTAATTCCAACATTTGGCAGGCTGAGGCAGGAGGATTGCCATGAATTCAAGGCCAGCCTGAATTACATAGCAATACCCTGGCTCAAAAAATAGAAAAACAAGCTGAGGGGCTAAGGATTTAGCTCAGCGGCACAGCGCCTGCCTGGCAAGTGCAAGGTTGTGAGTTCAATTCCTGGTACCTGTAAACAAAACAAAACAAAACAAAACAAAAAACACAACAGAGCCAAAACACAAGCTGAGCAGACAGCTGAAGCAAGAGAATTATTGCGATTTCCAGACCAGCCTGAGCTACAAAGTGAGCTCAAGGCCAGACTGAACTGCATAGTGAGACCCTGTCTCAAAAAGGGAAAAAAAAAAAAAAAAAATAGAAACACAGAACAAAAAGTTAATTCTGTCAAGTCTCTCTTTTTTTAAAAGTTTCTCTCTTAATCAGAATCTGGTTTTTACAGCTATTCAGCTGAGTGAAAGTGGAAGTGACTCTGATGTGGCATCTGGTGGTATAAGACCAAAGCAGCTCCATGTGCTACAGGAGAACACAAGGATGGGCATGGAAAATGAAGAAAGCATGATGTCGTATGAGGGAGACGGTGGGGAGGCTTCCCATGGTTTGGAGGATAGCAACATCAGGTAATCGGCAACAACATGCTACAGGGCTGTGGCATTAATGCCCAGGTATGATGTCAAGGGGCTTAGCATCAGATTGCTTTTATCATCAAACTTTTCCTGAGCACCTACTAGGACCAGGCATGGTGCTTAGGCCCTGGGGATACAGAGGAGCAAGATATATCCTGCCCTTAAGGAGCTCTCCTGACAAACAAATCATTACAATGGGATAAGTACTAAAGCATAAGTAAGTACAAAGTCCCAAGGCACCACTGAGGAGGGAACATCACACTTTGGTTGAAGTAATCAGGGAAAGTTTCACAGACAAGGGAATGTTTGAACTGGGCCTTCAAGCTTGAATAGGAGTGTACTAAGTAGATACTATGGCAGCAGGTGAGTAGATGAAACAGTATATTGAAAGGCACAGGGGGCTGGGGATTTAGCTCAGCGGCAAAGCGCCTGCCTGGCAAGCACAAGGTCGTGAGTTCAGTTCCCGGTACCGGAGAAAAACCAAAAAAAAAAAAAAAAAAAAAAGAAAGGCAACATGAAGCATGTTCCAGAGCAAAGGGAAGTTGTTGGGGATTTGAGATACTAAAAGTAGCAAGGGATTATATTGTAGAGGACCTTAAATGGCATGCTTAAGACATTTGGAGTTTGTACTATAGGTAGTAGGAACAGTCACTTTAAGGAAAGGGAAATAACATCAACTTTGTATGTTAACTTTCTCTTAGGGTATAGTGGGACATGATGAAGATACTAACAGGGACCTGTGAGGAAAGGGTGGGAAATGAAAGGACATATTTACTTAAGTGTTATTTAAAAGGTAGATAATTAGAGTTAGGAGGTAGACAGTCAGATCAATAATGAATGGGAATGTCACAGAGAAAGAAAACAGGAAAAATAGGTACTAAATGGGGTAGGAAAGGAGGGAAAAATGAATTTGCCTTTGGGCATGTTGGGTTTAACATATACATGATACATTTAGCCAGCAAGCAGTTAGAAAGTTTTATTTGTAAGCACAAAACAACTAAGATATGATTCCTTCCTTTAAGGTGTTCAGTCTAGCAGGAAATCTAAAATAGGTAAACAAGCAGTCACTACCTAACATGAAAAGGCAGGCAATCACAGAGTTTTTCCGGGACTTGGAGAAGGATGGGTAAGGTAGCTGGTTAGGAAACTGATCTGAACATAAATAGTAATTAGCTAGAAAGCTGGGTGTGGTGGCGCATGCCTGTAATCCCAGCATGTGGGAGGCTGAGGCAGGAGGATCATTGTGAGTTCAAGACCAGCCTGGGCTACAAGTGAGCTCAAGGCCAGCCTGAACTGCATAGCGAGACCCTGTCTCAAAGTGACAAGACAAAGAAAAAAAGTAATTAGCTAGATGAAAAAGAAAGCCAAGTACATTGCAGAGACCAGGAACAGCATGAATGAAGATCCAGAGGCGTGAGGCACTTTTAAGAACGTAAGTAACTTAGTGTGGCTGTCGCTTTTGATTGATCCACGTAAGATCCATGATCCATGTGATAAAAATGATGTAAGGGTTTGATGATATAGTCTGCTAGTAGAATTCTTGCCTAGTATGCATTGAGGCCCTGGGTTCAATACAGCAATACAAAAACATATTTTTTTTTTTTTTTTTTTTTTTTACAAAAAAATTTTTAAAAATCTGAAAAAGTGATCGAAAGAGGTTAGGTAAGGACCAAATTTTGAAGGACCTGGAAATTTGGGGCAGGCACTGAATGAGAACATTGTGATCGGATTTACATCTTAGAAAGATTACTCTGTGCAGGCAGGCATAGTGGCACACACCTATAATCCCAGCACTGGGGAGGCTGAGGCAGGAGGATTGTTGTGGGTTCAAAGCCAGCCTGGGCTGAATAGTGAGCTGAAGGACAGCCTGAACTACACAGCAATACCCTGTCTCAAAAAACAGCCACAAAAAAAGAGAGAAGGGAAGATTATTCTGTATACCAAAGAAAAACAGGCAAAAGACATGAACTAATAATTTATGAAAGAAATGTAAACGGCCAATAAATATATCAAAAATACAATTTCCTAATAGTCAAGGAAATGCAATGAAACACTCAAGTAGTTTTTTTTTTAACCTATCAGAATGATAAAGATTAAAATGAATAATAATGCCCAGTGTTGGAAAGTATATGAGGAAAAAGTAAATTGATAAAATAGAGTGGGTAGGAGAGAGGTTTAGCAATTTATCACCATAAATAAAAAAAATTTTCAAATGTGCATTCCCTTTGGCCCCAAAATTCCAATCTATGAAATTTTTCTATGGGAATAAAAGCATCTTCATTAAGATACTTATATAAGGATGTTTATCACAGCATTGTTTCTCATAGTGAAAAAATTGGAGACAACTTAAATGTCTTAGTGAGATACTGTTAAATCAGGTCACAGCCACAAACCAGAATAAATACCATGCAGCTATTAAAATTATGCTATAGGTGTATGTTTATTGACACAGATGTTCATTATAATCATTAATGAAAGTGGCAGAAGGATATTCTGAAGAATATATAAAATATGTCATTTGTAAATAAAAAAAAATGTTTAAGCATCTAAAATACATAGAAAATTAGAAGATCATATACCAAAAGATTATCTCAGTGGTGGAGTTATTTTTTTTCTTTTTTTCTGATGTATGTTCTGACTTTTAAACCAGTGAACGTGCATTCTTTGTGTGATTTCTTTAAGTAAAATTAAAAATAAACAAACAAAAATAAAGAGCACTCTGGCAAAAGTGGGAAGAAATTGATTGGAGGAGAGCAAGACTGGAGGCATGCAGTGTTATTTCAGTAGTGCAGACCAGAGATAATAAAGGACTAAGCCAAGGCAAGCAGAGTAGGGATGGAAAGGAGGGGATAGAAATAATACATTGGAGACTCTTCGGGACTGTTAATTAATTTTGGATACATAGGTGAGTGAAACTAAGTGGTAGATGAAATCATGAGGCTCTCAAAGCATTTGTGGTCATGTTAGCTATTGTGTGTTGTTTGGGTATAGGGGACTTGCTTTCATATCTTGTATATATGAAGTTAGGAAGTTGATATTTTTGAACAGGATAATTTTTCTCTCTGGGACATGTAGAACAGTCTAGACAGAATCAGTCAGTGTAGCATCCAGGGGAGGTGAGATGGGCTGATCCCTTGGTGGCAACTGAGAATGGGAATGGTCAGCTTGAGAGATGACATGTTTCTCTTCTCAGTTATGGGAGCTATGAGGAGCCTGATCCCAAGTCGAACACCCAAGACACAAGCTTCAGCAGCATCGGTGGGTATGAGGTATCAGAGGAGGAAGAAGATGAGGAGGAAGAGCAGCGCTCTGGGCCAAGTGTACTAAGCCAGGTCCACCTGTCAGAGGACGAGGAGGACAGTGAGGATTTCCACTCCATTGCTGGAGACAGTGACTTGGACTCTGATGAATAAGGCTTCCTTTGGGCCTCTTTGGTCAGCCTTCCCTGTTCTCCAGCCTAGGTGCTTCACTTTTCCCCATTTTTTTTGTTTATATTTGTACAGTGTCTGGTCCTGAAATCACCAGATTAACTAACACCTTAGGCTTTAATAATAAGTAAATGATCTCTCCTGATCTCGGGGCAATGTCACCCTTTGATGTAAAACCAAGCTACCCTTTCCCCTACCACTACCGAAAAGAGAACAATCTCACTCTTCTCCAGTACTGTTCTTTAACTTCATTTATTGCTTTAGGTATATTTTTTTCCCTGGGGAAAGAGGAGAAATTATGAAAAGACTAATAACTTATGTCCTCCTCGTACATTATAAGTTCTCTATGCATGGTATCATTTCAGTTTTCTAATTTGCAGGCTGGAATAGCTGAGAACACCTCTGATGGAACAGAGAATTGGATTCCAGTGGGCTCTGTGGGACACTTAAACCTATTGGACAAACTGCCCATTAACTTTATTATTTAGTTATACAATGCCTTGTTCCTAAATGGATTTGAGGCAAGTGACTATAAATCTTTGAAACAGCCTGTATGTCAGAAATGATATGTTGCCATGTAAATGTGTTGTTTCCTCCCGCGTGGGGAATGGTAGGAAAATGGTAAGTTCCTTAGGACAAAGACTGTGTCTTCTGTTTCTTTTCATGCTTAGGAGATGGTTCTGTGCAAAGTAGGTACTCAGTAAATGTTTCTAGAATCATAAAATCCTCAGTAGATATATTACTAAGTATCTGCTCCACAATAAGCACTCTATCAGATCCTTTGGATGCAAAGGTAAAGAAGGCACATCTCTTTTACTTAAAGAGATTACCATCAAGTTGGGGGGGATGGGAAGTCAAACATGTTAATAAATGATTAAGTACTGTGAGATAAGTGCAATTAAGAAGCTAGCTATAAAATATAAGAGAAAATAGAGGAGTCATCACATTTGAAAAAAGTCAGGGACATCTTCCTAGAGGTAAGTTTTAAAGCTGATTATTGAAGAAATAGGAGCTTGCCAGATGGAAAGGTCTAGGCAAACTGTAATGTGAAGTGAAAAGGCCATAGGGGCTGGGGATTTAGCTCAGCGGCAAAGCGCCTGCCTGGCAAGTACAAGGTCGTGAGTTCGGTTCCTGGTACCGGAGAAAAAAACCAAAAAAAACAAAAAAAGTGAAAAGGCCATAATCTAGAAA